ATATATATATATATATATATATATATATATACATATACACTTACTAATGGATATTTTTGTACTTGGTAATTTTGTTAGAACGTTACATAAATGCATACATTGACTAGCGAATGTATATATTTACTAGATTGTACGCAAAATTTATTGATGAACTTGCTTCCCACGTGTCATTTCCGATAAATGGATAAATAAAAATTTGCTTCATACAGAAGAGAGTACGTTCGTCTATTAGGCCGTGCTGAACTATGAAATGCGATCAACGAAACGAAGAACGAAAAATCGATTTTTCTACTTCTAAATAGATCCATAGAGATTTCAGCCAGTCAGATAAGAGTGCTGCGATAAAAAAAAAGAGAGAGAGAGAGAGAGAGAAAGAAACTTTTACAATCTACAAATAAAAATTTATACCTTCGGTCGTGATTCTCTAAAATGAAAAAAATTAGGAAAAAAAAGAGAAGGGGGAAAAGAGAAGAAGAAAAAGTGCGTCTAAAGGAAACGGAAACTTATAGAATGGTGTGTGTAAATTCACGAGTATGACTTCTTTAAGTCTGCTAAAATAATAAGATAAAACAAAATCGTTAAAAAAAAAGTACGTGGATTAACTGAAATAAAAAAGAATGACGAAGAAAAATAAGAGGGGAAGTTGATCGGGCAGAAAGAAGAGAAATCTATGGATCTATGTACATAAAATCACAATGCTGCGAATCTACGAAGAAAAGTAATGAAAACCCGCGCTTTAGTTCCTCTACTATCCTCCATTCTATAAAGTAGAGAAAATAAAACGTTTCCCTTTCTTTTGATCGCGGAATGGATACGAAAAAAATACAATGTACGTTGAACAGGATTACGGTTTTGTCGAGTGTTGGCAAGGTCCTCGGTAGATTGCAATATTTTATTAAACAATCAATTAGTTTTTCCAAGGATTTATCTTGCTACACTTAATTTCTGTGCGCTTCACTATCGATATCTACACATGTATCTCCGTATTTATTCTAGACAATGATCCGTTCACTCCCTACCCGAATCTCGATATTGACATCTGTATAAAAAATTCTCACCGATGGCGAGTAGATTACATGTTTATGCAAATTATTCACATTTTTATACATGCAGCTAAGGGAAAGACGATTTCTTTCACTCGCTAAGCATTGCCACACCTTATCCTAGTTTCAGTATAGTTTTGTACATTCTTTTTTGCATCTATAAATCTGCCATAAATGCATAAACACATCCACACGTTAATTGAGATGAGATCCGTAAATAAAAAAACGAACAATCGATGATCAAGATCTACAAAATAAAGCTTAAACTTATCTAATAAAGGAACTGCTCGGATTACATTCTTTTACAATTACAATGTATGTATGTATGTATGTATATATATAATATATGTATATCAGTATAATTATTTATATATATACATACATAGTTTTTACAATTGCTCGTGAAAATTGCCACTTTTTTTGTCGCAGATGAGAAACATTCGTGAACGCAGCAAATGAAAAAAAATAGAAGAAACAGAACGAAAAGAAAACGGTTCGGTCGAGCAAACGAATCATCGTCAACTCGTTT